GGAGAGGCACAAAAGTCAAGCTGCTTAAAGTCCAGTGTGAAGTTTCCACAGTCAGTGATGGTTTGGGGAGCCATGTCATCTGCTGGTGTGGATCCACTGTCTTTTATCAAGTCCACAGTCAACGCAGCTGTCTACCAGGAAATTTTAGAGCACTTCATGCTTCCCGCTGCCGACAAGCTTTTTGGAGCTGAAGATTTTATTTTCCAGCAGGATTTGGCACCTGCCCACACAGCCAAAATTACCAGTACCTGGTTTAATAGCCATGGAATAACTGTACTTGATTGGCCGGCAAACTCGCCTGACTTAAACCCCATTGAAAATCTATGGGGTATTGTCAAGAGGAAGATGGGGGAACACAGACCCCGAAATGCAGACGAGCTGAAGGCCAATATCAAAGCAACTTGGGCTACCACAACACCTCAACTGTGTCAAAGGCTGATCGCCTTCATGCCGCGCCGCCTGGATGCAGTAATTAGTGCAAAAGGAGGCCCAACAAAGTACTGAGGACATAATACAGTACATTAACACACTTTTCAGAAGGCCAACATGTGTTGAAGATCCTTTTTTTATTGGTCACATGAAATATTCTAATTTTGTGAAATACTGGATTTGGGTTTTTTTTTGTCTTTAATCCATAATCATCAAAATTGAAACAAATAAAGGCTTAAAATATTTCACTTTGTGTGTAGTGAACTAATATAACTTACAAGTTTCACTTTTTGAAACAAGTTATTGAAATAAATGGACTTTCCCTCGATATTCTAATCTTTTGGCACATACCTGTACTGAAAAACATATTCCATCATTTTGTTTTACTCTCCTGTCAAACGTCCATTGCCTACATACTAATATTATAGGTAAAATTACATCATTACTTTTACACTTTTATTTGCCATAAATATTAAGAGTTTAGCTCTGTAAATCATTACTCTGCACCTCAGCTTATGACAGACCACTCAGTGCAAGTTGTTGATTTGACTTAAATGGTTATGGTTCACTGTGCGTTTCTTAAAAGTTACCAAAAGTGGTTGATGTTCTCCCCAAGGAATGCTCATCTGCTATAAAGTGGGCAGTATCTGGCTCTGCTGATGAGCCCCAGTGTCGATCCCGATGGCTTTTGATTTGCTTTATTGAGATTGATAAATGCATTTGTTACTAGACTTTATTTACACAGCCCAATATTACAAATTTACCCCAAGGTACTGTTATAGAAAAGGGGGGAGGTGACAGTGATGCGGTGGGTAGAGCAGTCGTCTCCCAACCGGAAAGTTGAAGGTTCAAATCTCGGTGCCAGCAGTCCACGTGTCAAAGTGTCCTTGGGCAAGACACTGAACCCCCCAGTTGTCCCCGATGGTTAGAGCCATCGGTTGAGATGGCGCTGCAGATGGCTGCCATTGGTTCTGTACCAGAAACATATTCTTTGTGTGTAAGATACTTGGCCAATAAAGGTGATGATTATCCTTAAAAGCCTTTCTGTGGCATAAAATATACATGGTCACCTTTTTTTCTGATTTATTGAGACAGTTTAAAATCTCCACATCGTCCCCTTCAGAGTATGCAAACTAAAACATAGGTTTGCCTTTGATTAAATGTAGTTTAAGCAGATGGAGTCCCATTGAAACTGCTTGCACTAGTGTCTGGATTTGATTTAACATGTATGAGTTAATTTGGCTTTTTAAGTCACCAACACTGATTTTATTTTCCTCTAATCTGTGGTTTTCTGTTGGTGTATTATTTGATGAGTTGTATTCTCTCCTCTGTTCTCTTGTATATAGAATCTGAAGTTGCTATACCAACATCAAAAACATCCCTCATCATTGTTTACAGTAAATTTCTGGTTAAAGCAGAAATATTGGTTTGTCAGAAATGTGGAACTAGTATATTCAGAGCTGAAGTTCAAAAATCCCAGAGTAATGTATATCTTGGCACATAAAGTTGTTTTAAACAGAAATGCAGTAGTGAGCGGTATAGAAAATAGAATAAAATGTTATTTCCTAGGATGATGGCACCTTTATGAAACAGGAAAAAAGTAAGGCAGGGGTCTTTAGATGGAAAATGCCCATAAGTATTGTAAGAATTAGTAGAACAGCAGCTGTACACCAGTGTACCAAGTAGATTTTGTCTTAATTTTAACAGTGTTGAAAGCAGCTGGTAAAAGGAATGTGTGCATGTTACCTTTGGCGCAGGTACTCCACAGATCATCTTGATTAAATCTGTCCGCCTTTTTTTTTTAATTCTGTGGCTGGGGGAATATTTTATACAGTGTGATTTATTTACTTTGTGTGGCTTATGTCATAAATCATGGTTCATGTCATGTTTACAGAGGGATTTCACTTGTATATAAACTATCCGTAGAGTAAGTCTGTAAATGTACCCCCTTAAGTCAGTTTTGAATACATTCCTCCAAAAATATTGTTCCCCATAGGACACATTTTCCTCAGATCTATAAATTGCTGGGTTTGGATCTGTGCTCTCCTGTTTATTATATAAATAAATCTTTAGTACAAAAGGTTTGAGTCTTTGGCTGCTATTTTTCTGAATGTTGCTCACTGAAGCAGACAGATTGTCATCAGTGAATTTCAGACAAACCTAAAACAACAGACCTGTAAAAGTAACAGCCTAAAATGGCTTTCAAGCAAAACATTTAATGGCTCTCTTCTTTTTTTTTTCAGAAATGTTGGTTTGGATTTTGAGAAGAACAATCAAAATAGTTCACTGAGAAAATAATTATTAGCCAGTCTTAAATGAATTTGCTCCAACAGCAAACTGTGGGTACAAATTATTGCACAAGAAATAATCAGATCGTACAGTTGTATGCAAAGGTTTTGTGAAAATTGCATATTTTATTTTAAGTGAAAAGCAGTAAATGCAAAACCAACAGCAGACAGCCATTGAAATGTCTTTCTTAAAATGTTAATCTTTACTCATTAACTTAAAAACTAGAGAAAAAATTTACAGTATGTGTGGCAACCAGTGGTGGCACAAAAACTGCACAGAGAGAGGGAAGAAGGGAAATATCAGCAAATTCTGGATGCAAATGTTACAGAATGGAATCAATTGGTCAAAGACATACAGCTGAAAAGAAGCTGACTTTTACAAACAGGTCGCTGTATCAAAGCAGACCTCAAAATCCACCATGAAGTCCCGGGTTGTACTGACATAACTACACAAGTAGTTAACACTTTAAAGGTAGAAATTTTACTTGTAAGTTGAATATTTTGACCATATGGTTTTATTATTATTACTTAAGTAAATGCTCTAAATACTTAAATGTATTCTAGACCTTACGTCATTGCCAACACACATTCTTATTGGCTGAGCGCACTGACGCGACGTTGCCAGGACAACGACATGCCAAACAACCGAGCGTACTGAGGTCTGAGATATCTGAGGTCAACTACGGCTAATTAACAGTTCTGCATCGAAAATCATGTCAAGTCAATTCATAAAAAGTTGTTTACTAACAATAAAGAGGTAAAGAGAGGTAAAGTTAAGAAGGCGGGAGTCGACGAACACCACCACAAACATGGTAAATCCTCGTTGCCAGCCCGAAGTAGAGTTAGCTTGACTGCTACAAACTTCAGTTAGCTACCACGCTGTTAGCACAGCACTTGTATTGTTGGCCTGTTCTGTGTTTTTTTCCCCACTATTTTGACGTGTGTTTGTCGCTGAAACAGAGTCGTAACTGGACGCACATGCATCAGCAGAGGTTAATGTCCCAGCGCCAGCGTCAGGAGCAGCACAGAGAGCAGGAGGCCAGGCGTGTGGACAGAGAGAAGCAGCTGCAGGCCAGTGTGCGGAACGAGGAGAGCTCCGAGAGGAGGAGATACCTACGGCAGGTGCAAGAGGAAGTCAAAGAGAGGCAGATGGAGAGCGCTCTGCTAAAGGTATGTCTGTGCAGGTTATGTTGGTCATTTCAGAAGCTGTAACAATCAGTCCTAACAGGATCAACCTCATGTTGAAAGAAAATAAATTAGTAACAAATTTTACACTTGATTTTTTAATGACCCTTTTTTGCTAATTTTTAAGCAAAAATGCAAAAAAAAAAAAATCACTAGCACCAGCTTCTTTAAATGTGAATATTTCCTAGTTTTAAAAAGCATTGATTTACAAAACACTGTGCTGTTTCATCAATATATGACTTGTGGCGGGCCTAAACCCAGATGTTGATATTCATAACAAACTTTGACGTGCAGGCAGAGGAGGAGCAAATAAACAGGGAAAAGCAACTTGAACAAGAGGAGAGAATGGCAAAAGAGCTGGCCCGTATCAACTATGAGAAGCAAAGAGAAGAGAAAATGCGGCAATATATCAGAGAGAACAGGTACCTGAGTACCTTGACTTACTTTATATATTATGACCATAATAATTTTTATTTTGACTTTATATTATGAGTTTTATTTCTGTACTTTTCAGCACAGAACTTCGAGAACTGGAGGCAAAACTGAAGTCTGCATATCTGAATAAGGAACGAGCTGCACAGATTGCCGAGCAGGAAGCCATGAGGTTTGAGACCATGGTGAGCACTGTCCTTGTTGATTTCGGTCAGTGACCAGAAACTTTTGTTGGTCATTTTCAGAACTGCTGATTGTAAAACATGAGGTGTTCAAGATGTCTTTAATTTAAACCAGATGATTTCCTTTTCATAATAGCCTCCATAAGCAGGGATAAGATCGAGTTTGTTTAAATATAGAAAATACTGGAAGGAATTGGCCTTGGCTAAAATTCTTATTTTCTTGTGAAAAGGTTGCTGTTTGCATTGATTTGTATTTGTATTTCTCAGAGTATTGAGACAACACATGCAAAGCGTGGAAGGCGTGCGGGCGCCTTAGTGAGGCTACGACAGAGGGGAACACAGTTAAAACAGGGAATACAGTTAAAAGTGGAGTTAAAAAGTGCCTGTTCTTCCTAATAATGAATTAGAATGAATTGTTTCTTACACTTATGGTTTGAGATGCTGTGGTAAAGTCTACACAAAGTATACTGTGCCTGTTCTTTGGAACTAGCGTGAGGAGACAGACTTTGCTCGCAAAATGAAGAGCGAACATGAGCGTGCAGCCACTGAGCAGCAGAAGCTGGAGCAGAAGCGCCACGAGGAGCTGGTCCAGTATAACAGGGAGCTGAAGCAGCAGCTCATGGAGAGGGAGCGCAAGAGACAAGAGGCATACGAGGAGTTCCTCAAAGAGAAACTTTTGGTGGATGAGATTGTCCGGAAGATTTATGAAGAGGATCAGATGTGAGTCATTCACTACTTACACTCCTTACCATGAGCAAACAGTACATACAGGAACATGTTTCATAGTAAACATGACAGCGAAGGGATAAAATGCTAGTGTGAGCAAGAACTAGAACTGATCAATCCCAAGAAGAACAATAGTTTGTTTAATTAGATCCCCATTAGCTAATGTACAGTAAGTTCAGTCATATCATTTAATATGTAAAACTGCCATTGCATTCATTTCGATTTTCAAATGACTTACAAATTCAATCACAGAGTATAGTCATGCAACTAATACTGTACATATTTTAAATTCACTGGTTCAATATAAGCATGCATTTCAAATAGTCTTCTAGCACCTGATTCCTTCTAGAAAAAGCATTAGGACTGTGGTAGTGTAACGGATTTAGTGAAAAATGTTTTGTCAAAGGGAGAGACAGCTGAAACTGGAAAAAGTCAGAGCCACTCAGCAGCACATTGAAGAATTCAAGAGACAGCAGGCCGAATGGAGACGCATGGAGCAAGAAAAGATGGAGGCTGAGAACAGACGCATCATGGAGTTTGCGAGCCATCAGCAGGACAGGGAGGAGAGCAGAATGGCTAAGATCAGAGAGAGAGAAGAAGCAAAGGAGCAGCTTCATAAAATAGTAGAGACAACTCTTTTTCTAATGTCCATTCATTTATCTGTTCAGCCAGTGAGACATGCATGTCATTAGCACCAAATATCACTGCTGTCTGTTGTCCTGTAGCTCTCACAGAGGATTGAAGAGGAGAGGCAGAAGCAAGAGGAAATGGAGCGAGTCCGTGAGGAACTTTGCTTAGAGGAACAAGAAGAGGCGGACAGGCAGAGAGAAATTGTAAGGATCATTACTTTACTGTCTCACTTTCTAAGACATTTCATGTAATCTTTTATATATTGGATATCAGGGCTACACAAAGTTATTACAAATGGTAATTATCAATTAATTTGTCAGTCATTTTTGAATTAATTATTTGGGCTATGAACAAAGCAATCTGAGTCTGAATATCCCAAAAAGGAAATCCTCTTAATTCACAGGAATTTTGACTCCACTGTTCACTGTTGCATTCCTTCTCTGCGAACAGCAGCTCATGAGTCAAGTGACGTATGCAGAGTCCTGTGTGCTCTGTGGCTTTTAAGTGTACCAGAATTTTTAATGTCAATTAAAACTTCCATCTAACAGGAAGAGATGGAAAGAAAAATCAGACAGAGGCTGATGATGCAACAGACCTGCCAGGAGCAGCTGGCTTTCAAAGAGATGAAGAGACAGGCAGAGAGGGAGGAAGAGGAGGCATTCAGGAGAATGATGATGGCTAAGTTTGCAGAAGATGATCGAATAGAGCAGATGAATGCACAGAAACGACGCATGAAGCAACTTGAGCACAAACGCGAGGTGGAGAAACTGATAGAAGACAGAAGACGACAGTGTGAGGCTGACATGGTAAAAATCATGCTCTGTGACAATAAGGTGGTACTGGTGTAGTTGTACTGTCAATAGTTATGTCGTTTTATCACGATGGTATTTGATGTTTAGCATTTGGAGTGTTTTCAGGACAAAAATGTATCAGTGACAACAGAGCGTAAGTTTTACCAAAGACAGTAAAAGATTTATTTGAGGAACATAAGTGAAACATAAATGGTGCATCTGTAGTGCATCATCTTTTTATTGTAATGTCTGTTTTGAATGACCTGCTTCAATAACATTTCACTGACTCTCTTCAAGGAACTGGAGGCTAAAGAGAGGGCAACTGAGCAGGAGAGGGAGGCGCTGCGCAGACAGATAATTGAAGAAGAGAGGCAGCGACTTCTTAAACGCCATGCAACACAACTCCTTGGGTACTTTCCAAAGGTATGAAGATGTGTGCGTGAATCATCACAGCTTCAATTCTTCTGTAGATCCAACAAGTGTATCACCATCTGGGCATCTGTTTTCAGGGCTTGCTCCGTGAAGATGACCTGGAGCACTTCGACGAAGACTTCAGAAGAAACTTTAAAACACGTCAGGCTGACATGTTCTCAGAAGACAGCTGGGACAGCACTGATTAAATGTTACTCTTCCGGTGTGCCACTAGAGGGCAGTGTACAGTTACTGTGAGTATTCTATGGAGCATTTTATGGTGACAATTTTATTCATTTCTCAGTATTCATGATAGTACTTGTTTAGCATCCAGAGACAACAAAATAATTTGGAAACATCTTTTTATTAGGACTGTACCTACAAGATCCTTCTTGTGATTACAAGCAAATCTCTAAATCTGAATTTTCTCTGAATTCACACTTAAAACTTCTTAATAGCTGTAATATTTAAAGTCTGAAAAACTATAAACTAAAATCTTTTACTCTGCAACAAATAAAACTCTTCAAAATGTATCTTTAAGAAATTAAAACAATAAAATGCTGAGTCTCAGTGTTTATGGCTTCCCCCAGTCTAGAGCTTTCATGAACTCATCTTCTGTGAACGACAGCAGCTTGGCAGCTTCAAAGTGCATCTGGAGAAAAAAACTCTGTTAAGATTTTGAAGAAAACCTATAAGCAGGGTATATATTAAAAGGGTATGATACAGACACTTACCTTTTGTCTTTTGAGGATGTCAATCAGTTTGAGTTGTTTCTTGAAACCCACAATGAGTTCTGCCTTCTGTTTTTTTAGCATCTTGTTTTCAGCAAGTAGATTTTCTTTACTCTGATGCTCCTCACTTATCTTGTCCTTTTTTAATGGAATTTAAAAGACAAAATTAGCAGAAAGCTAAATTTAGCAGAACCTTACATTATTTGTGTAACACGGGGTCTCAGTTACAAATCAGGTACAAATACACAACATGCTGAAATTCAGTTGTAGCTCATGCTTTATGTAACTCAGTGAGCCTTCTTCTGACATCTTCAGATAATGTATCCAACACTGTGCAGACATGGTTTTATGTTCACTGTGCAATTTAAAATCCAGCAGCAATACATGAAAAACCTCTGACCTGGCTTCAGTTTTAGTGTTTAGGTCGTCGGACACTATGTGAAGATACCTGTTCTCAGTATCGCTCTTGTATCTACTAAAATGATTCATTATCTTTTTACTTTAGAGGTGTTACCACATTGCCTTACTTGGCTCAAAAGCCCAGGACACTCATTATTATTGCTTTAAAACAAAACTCAGTGAGCTCTAATGGCACATTTTGCTGCTATGCCCCCTATAAGTGAAACAGATGTTTGGTTTACATTGAAAGATTATTTGATTTGCTATAAATATGCTTCACTTTCCAAGTTTGAATCACTACATTTTATTTATGGCTGTGTTATTTTATGCACATATGATTTTTAAATCTCTCTTGTTTAATGTCATGTTGAATGTATGCTGGGTTCTGTTTTGATTGTACAAGTTCAACCAGAGTCTGCTCTGGCTCAGTTTAGAGATTTCCTGTTTTACCTACAATTCTCTAACATATACTGGGTTATCCAGTCAAAATATATTTTTAAAACACAAAAATGAATCTGAGGATCTGCAATTAATTGCTACTTTAGAGTTTCTAGTTATCTTACAAGTTGGCAACAGCTTAACATTATATTTCTGTTCATGAAAGTTGTAATAAAACTTGTAAAACTCGTAATAAAAAATAAAAACATCATATTCGAGTACCTTGAGCTTTTTAAACTAGGAGTGTGTTTTTATCAGCACTAACAGTATTACAATGTGTCTACCTTGTTCATCTGTTGCATCTTGTTCAGCTGAGTCTTCAGCCTCTCCACCTCCTCCAGAGCTCTGTTCAGACGAACCTCCACTGTGCCTTGGATGGCTGCGGCTTGTTTGTGGGATCTTTTCAGATTTTCTGTTTCCTACACAGAGCACAGCGGGAAGTAATCACACAGGATCAACTCCCAGGAGTAAAGGAGAATGGAGTCAAATTTTAGATTATTAAGAAACAAACTTGTTTTTTAGTCTGTTGAAAGTCTTTACATGTCAAAATTGAAAAAGGCTCTCAGGCAGTGTCTTTTTTTCAGGGACACACCTTATGTAAACTAGACACTTGCATTTGAAGACCATCACATTTTTTGTCAGACTCCTCTGCTAAAGCTCTGTGCTTCTCGATCTGTGTTTGCTGAATGCTCATGGTCTTCTGCAGTCGGGCTCGCTCCTCCTCAAGCTCCTTAATTTTTGCACTAAGCTTAGTGTTTTCATCATCCTGCAACAACAGGAACAGTGTTAAACATATCGGTGTCTTCGAGTTTGAAGTCATGTTTTAGAAACTGATGGTGATAAATCTAGTTGAATCATTCTCAGTCTACAAATTTTTCATTACCTTCTTATAATATTCACATGAAAGCTGATCTAGCTCCTCTTGCATTATCTGTAGTTTTGCCTTGAGAACACGTATTTGAGCATCTGAAATGCCTTAACAAAGCAGGACAGTAAACAGTCAGACTTAAAAGCCCATGGAAAAAGGCTTTAACCAGTCTCCTCCAAAAAAAAAACAAAAAAAAAAAAAACGTAAAAACATATCAAACTCACCACATTATTTATGTGAACGCTCCAGTTTAGATTTAATTTAGGATTCTCAAGGGCCAAGAGTTTCTTTCAAATCCAAAATCTTCTTTGTTAAAAAAATGTAACATGTATTTAACAAAACCATTTATTATAAAATACATTTAGAACTCACATAACCTCTGTGAACCAGTGGAAAAAAAATGTTGAGCTCTATTACATCTTTTATATGTAATTGTACAATTTTTTTTTAAATTTATCATTAACTGGGATTACCTGAGCCTACATGGCATCCAGTGTCTAGCACATCATGATCATCCTCAACATTTTCATGAGTGACAGTGTCGCTCATCTTCTCCTCTATGCTACGTATCGTTTTCGCCAGGAAATACTCAGGCCCTGAATCATCTACATGAGACACCTCTGAGGTTCTGAAATCAAGCAAACACGTAATGGCCTTGTAAAGAGTGTTTTACAACAGTTTACAAAACGCATGACCTTAAAAATGGTCACCTTGGATTTGGAATGATATGAAATCAAACTCACGCTGGTTTACTGAGAGGCTCTTTTCCTTGGTTTCCCCTATTCATGTCTTGTGATGCTGATGTGACCCTTTTTTTGGTCACCACCTAAAAATGGACGACAAAGAAAAACATCATCAACAAACTGTAAAGGTAGATTGTTAACTTGGGTTGGTTAAGCAAAATACAGACACTCTAACCTAATGTTTTGAACTGATACCTTCAAACCAGGCTCCCTCCCAGTGCACTGCTTTAATGTCCTGTATGCGAATACATAGAAATACACAGAGAGACAGGTTGGTAGTTAGATTCATAGATACATAAAGAAAGAAATGGGTGATTTTTGAATAAGTTGTTTCTCATAAGCTGCTTTCATGAATAAATGAAAGGTCTGTGAGGAGGCTGGAGCATTTCACTGGGATAAATGTGACTCTTGCAGCGGTTCTGAGAAAATTAACCACTTAAAAAGTCAACAGCCATTCTCGCGGCATGTTGCACCCTCTTAAGAACTCTGCATTAAATATTTATTACCTTGATTCTTCTTCATCTTTGATATCCGTGAGCAGGAGGGTGGACAGGGGCTTTGACAGCATTTCACTCTGCTCTTTCTAAAATGTTATGAACACCAAGAGCCAGTTTAATTCATAAAGCAATCTGCCCTTTAAGATTTGCTTACCCCTCTTCTCAACTTCCCCTGTTAGATGACTTTTTTAGGTGCACTACTGATACACAGGTTTACTCACCCAATGCAAAATGTTTGTTTTTTAACCAAAAAATGTAAACATATAAATAACTTACCATTAATTGTTCTGCCTGTCGTACCAGGTCTGCTGTTTTGGCTTCCAGCTCTGCATTTAAGATTCTGCAGAATAAACCAATAGTTGTACTGTATAAAGTCAAAGGTCAAAGTGTTTATTTGTAATATGTACAGTTAGGAAACATGTTTCCCTGTACAATGAATTTCTTACTTCGCCGTCCATATGAATGTCACATAATACAAGTGAAATATAAAGCAGATGAGCAATAACACAAATCTAAATAGGCAGTAAAATCACAAATCTAAGGCACATTAAAGCAGCAAGTGAAGAGGGCAAATAGAGAACACAATATAATGCAGAGAGAATATATGCTATGTGAGAGCCGTGGAGTGTAAATACTCAGCAGTGACTGTGCAATTATGCTTGTGTAAAATGAGTATGTAAACAGCACAGATGGAATTACATGAGGTAGATCCTGAGTCAGCTGTTTAGGAGTCTGATGGCAGAGGGAAAGAAAGAGTTTTTCAGCCTGGAGGTCCTGCATTTCACACTTCTGCCGTACCAGACAGTGATGCAGCTGGTCAAGATGCTCTCGACGATGCAGCTGTAGAAGTTGCAAAGGATCCTAGGCGACATGCCAAACCTCCTCAGCCTCCTCAGGAAGTACAGCCACTGTTGGGCCTTCTTGACCAGCTGTGTGGTGTTAAGTGTCCAAGTGAGGTCCTCACTGATGTGGACGCCCAGGTATTTGAAGCTGCTCACCCTCTCCACCTCGAGCCCCCAGATGAACAGTGGCCCATGAGATCTCCTCTCCTTCCTCATGTCCACTATCATCTCCTTCGTCTTGTCCGTGTTGAGGCTGAGATTATTGTCCTTTGTGGGGGTCGATGTTCCTCAGGACTTTGCGTACCTGGCCTGGTGAGACAGTTAGTGGAGGGGAGGTGGGGGGTTGGGTGGTCCAGGTGTGTGTGTGCCTCCTCTCTGTGCTGTAGCTGGAGGTCTCAAAGCAGGTGTAGAAGGTCTTGAGGTCATCCAGCAGACTGTCTGTGGAGCTGACGATGCTGGTGGTCCTGTAGTCTGTGATGTGCTGCAGGCCTTGCCACATTCGTCCAGAGTGTAGAAGCCATTCAGCTTCTCTCTGTACTGCCTCTAGGCCGCTGTGATGGTTTTCTTCAGTCTGTACTTTGCAGCTTTGTACTCCATCTCATCGCCTGATCTGAATGCATGAGAGCGAGCACGCAGCATGTGGCGTACCTGACTATAGTCTTTACATTTTGATTTTCTGCTGCAGGGTTGCAAAAAATACAGCACATTCACTGTAGTGCAGCTGGGGCAAGATCTGTATTTTGCCGCTGAGGACAAGTAGTGGCTTAACGCCACAATTTAGAGCCTTTTGTACCTTTGATAGAATGAAACCTCGGTTCTGAAATTTGGTGTATTTTGGTGCACTTTGGAAATACTTGTTTCAAAATACATATAAAATTCAAAGGCAAAATTCAAAAGGCATTGTCATTTAAGTCTTTTCCATGAAGTCATTCAAACAGATATGTGAACAGAAAGTCTTACTTGTATTGTTCCTCCTTAGCCAAAAGCTCATCTGTGTGGGTCCTTGTGGGATCAGAGGCAGATTTTGCCTGAAGTCTTACTTCAACCCTCTTGGACCTCTCAGCCTTAGTGCTAGAGGAAGGGCGTTTTTTGGTCTGAACAACAAAACAAGAGAGAGCAGAAGACTTTATTACATTAATCCCTTAGAGAGATATTTAGCATTTAATGGGATCAATGTGACTGGATACAATATAAATAAATTAGCATTTCACCTTGTATTGCCCCAGGGTTTTACTGCCACTCATGTTTTAATTCATTCTGGTAAGAAAATCATGATACTTTATAAACCTGATGTTATATTATCCACAATATTAGCTTGTTGTACATATGTTATTAGAATGTGGTATCATGGCCATAAATCCTGGAGGAATTGATTTAGTGATTGTTTCTCTCTTAACAAGTATTTGAACATAGAATAAAGGATGTGATTTATGGTTTTCTGCTTTTTTTATGGATGACTGTTTTGTTTTCAAAACTAAACATGAAGTATGGCAGTCTGTCAGAAAACATGGGTACAAAGGTTTTGTTATACACCACTTACACTGAAAAATTAGATTAATTTATAACAATATTGGAAGTGTCAAAATGACTTAGGTATTTTATTCATTTAATGGCAGATTGTTGTGTTGTTTTGCTGTTTTGGAAACAAGTGGCTGCATATAACAGAGAGAGTTGATATATGCAATTTTGACTTGAAAAAAGCAAAATATTTAGGCTCTTTGAATTATATGTTTTGCAGACTGATCGAACCTCTGTTGCGAAAACAGAGACAAAGCAATCTGTAACAGATGTTGTGGCTGCATGGGATTCCTAGGTGTATTAAGTGTCCGGTCTATTTTTAAATAACATTACCCAGCAGTCACGCACTTCATTAGAATGAAAATTTATGGAATTAATGTTTATATCGCTGCATATTTTGTCTTCCTCTCTCTCTCTGCAGTAGGGTCCACGGTACTTTGCTACATGTTTAGCATCTTATTGTGCTTCATCAATGACGGTTAGCTTGTGTTGATGTTTGTCAAGTGAGTTCGTCTGCTGGAAACAAAAGATTAGGTTTAAACTTTTACTGGTAGCACACAAACAGCTCTGTTTAAACCTGTGAGGGGTAAACACGAAACAATGACGCTACAAACCTGCGAAACGGCGGACTGAACCTTTTTACCAAAACGTCTTTCAGCCATTGAAGCACAAAGCACAGAAAGGCGACGCAGTTCTGGTTGCATAGCAACCGTTGTACACAGTACGGTGTCCTTCAAGGACATTTTAGCCTTAAAAAATTACCCGAACGCTAATGATCTGATACATATATAAATTGCTTAATTAATGTATTGACGTAAACTATAATTTAATTATTGTTATTTTGTCTACTGCCCTACTGCAAATATACTTGTACTTTAGGCTACTTGAGTATTTTCTTTTCATGCCACTTTATACTTCTCCACATCACATTTCAGAGGGAGAACTGTAGGTAACTTTCTACGCCACTATAATTATTTAACATCTATAGGCTATTAGTTACTTTATATATTCAGTTCTCCACCAGTGATTTATACAGCACATTCTCAAATAAAGTAGCCTACGAGCTCTTAACATTGTACAGTAGGCTACTCGAGTAAATGTACATAGTTACTATTTACCAGTGGTTATTATTTTTCTGCTTAGATAACGTGTATTTATGATTTACTGGCTGTATACATATAATATAATGTAGCAATGGGGGCGAAATGAGACTTGGCGGGGTCCTCCACGATGCCTTAATCCGATTTCAGATAGGACGCGGTGGGCGCTGTGCTCCGATATCGAACCCATTCATTTCTATGTGTTGCATCCGTAGAGGAGGGCGTGGGTCCGCCACAATCAGCTCCTCCTCCATTTTATTTGTGGTCTGTCAGGTTCTCTGCAATTGGACGCGTCGAGGTGTCGTCAGAGAGCTGCACCCAAATTGAACTTTTTTTTTTTTAACTTTAGCAGAGCGCGCGGGGACGGCACGCGCGACCTTGCGCTGCACACCACATAGAAATGAGCACCTGGCGGTGTCCCTCTGGGTGGGATGTGTTTACTGTGGGGTTTTGGTGGGGTTCTGTGCGTAGATGTCAGTATGTGTGTATGCTAATAAAAGAGCGGCTCCCCGGCCTCGGGAGATCGCAGAAAAAGGCGACTTCTGTTTCCGGCTCCTTACCCAAGCTAGCTTACGTACCAATAATAATACCCAGATATAAATTCACTACCATGGCAGCATGCTCAGTGATGTCTTCTGTTTACATGTTGTTTTTAATACTGAGGGTGGTAGTGCGCATGCGTGTGCACCGCAGCTTCTACTCACTGTGCACATGCAGGGAAATCTCATAATGTGAGGGGCAGTGCACTCCGGAGGGACTAGGTACTTGTTTTTCAGCTGCCCGTTTACTGTTTACACCCGCCTTTATTCACATCATTGCACACCCTCGCGTTTGTCAGGGGCGTGTAAATTTTGTTGCACCTGCTCTTTAATTCACCGAGTGTTTGGACCGGAGCGATGTCAGAGGAGGAGGGTAGGGTGGCAACAACAACAACACGGCGCGCTGCTGCTGTCCCGTTAGCATCGCGACGTCCGCCGGTCCATGTTGTTTAACCCAGCCGGGGACTACACCCTACACCCCTCGAGTCCAGTCCAGTCCGGTCCAGTCCCGTTTCGAGGCCCACCGTGATGGCCGAGGAGGACCCCCAGCAGCAGCAGCAGACGGACCGCGGTGGGGGCAGACTGCTCGGCCTGCTCCCCGGGCTGCAGGGCGCAGAGGCTAGTGCTCTTCAGCTCAGGATCAAGAACTCCATCTGGTGAGGAGGAGCTCACACGCTACTCAGCATGGTTTGATGCTTTAAGGGAAAATCATCAACAAATTTACAGCCACTTTGGCCCTAAGTTTATCTTATGGGGTAGTCTCACCATCAATAAGTAACAGTGGTGGAAGAAGATCACCTCTTTTATTAAATAAATAAATGAATAAATCTATCTCTATTAAGTAAAAGTCCTGCATGGAAAATACCGCTTAGGTGAAGTCATAACAATCATCTACAAGATGTGTTTAAAATTTGCAGCATAAAAAGTAAAAAGTATTAGTTGAGCAGACAATTCTAAATAGTTTTACTGGATGCTGATGGATTAATGTGCAAGTAGAATATTGTTGCCTGTGGTGGAGCCAATTTTACCCATATACTTCTGGGTAGGTTTCTCTAAAAACGCATCATATTGTATGAACTGGTCAAATGTTTTCTACAGTATGTACAGTATTGCTCTGCAAAGTAACCGTAGTTGTCAGATAAATGCAGATTAGTAAACAGTACAGTGTTTCCTTAAGAAATAAAGGGTAATAGAAGTATAAAGTGGCATAAATTTGAAATACTCAAGTAAAGTAGATGTACAGCACTTGAATAAATATACTTTGCCAGTTGTTTACTTGAGTAAAAGGTACTATAGTAATGCCAGAGTGTAACTCTACTCCATTACATGTCCTTCGTTCAGAATGTTTAACTATGTAAATGATTACAAGTATCATGAACTAAATGTTCTTGAAGTATCTAAAATAAAAGTACTCCTTATGCATGGCAGAATGGCCCCTGTCCAATATGATTGTGCTGTATATTATATCTAAAGCTCTATTATTGGTCCTGATACAATAGCACATAAGCAGCATTTTAATGTTTTAGCTGGTCAAGATGGCGCTGATTGGAACTCTTATCATATACTGTCAAACAGTGAAATCAGTAACAGTTTCTCATCCTTTAAGTTATATAACCCAATTCTATCTTTTGGATGTAAAATATTACCCAGTAAAGTACCTGTAGCTGTCAGATAGATGTAATTAAGTAAAAAAAGTGCAATATTTCCTTCTGAAGTGCAGTAAAGCAAAAGTATTAGTAGCATTAAATGCAGGTACTCAAGTAAAGTACCTCAAAGTAGTTCTTAAGTACAGTACTGGGAGCGGCTGTGACTTACATACAGTACAGTTTTCTCATCTGCTGTTCCACTTCAGGAGTGGACTGTTTGGATCTAGCAGCCCAATTAAAACTGAACTGCATGGAAATATGTGTGACCTATATTTTAGGAAAGGTTTTCTACTTGAACTGACGATGTTTGATTTACTAGGGTACAGTACAGTGGTGAGGTACTTGTTCTTATCTCTGCTACTCCACGACACCTCACTAGAAAATATTTGCTACTTTTTACACATATGCATTTATTTGACAGCTACAGTCACCAACTATTCTGCAGATTGATAAACTGATCATATGTTTTGTATCAGTAGCATCTTTGAAGGCTGGGGCTTTTAAATAAATGTAGTGGAGTAAGAAGTAGTAAATATTTTATGGTGAGGTATAGTACAAGTACTCAGCAGTACATACTGTGTGATAGCTGAAATTAGCTCCAACTGGTGACATTTTAATGCACCAATGATATAAATCTTATATTGTAATATGTTAGACTTTTGATTACTTTTGCAACAAAACGATGACATAACATTAAGATGTGTTGTTGAAAGCTGCACATGAGTTGTCATGATAACACTAAGCCATTTTCAGCTCAGTGAACTCTGATAAATTTTCCTGGTTTAAGGCTGCAATTAATTATTTACATTGTTGTTTAGCTGATTCATTAACTGATTTCTTTGATTAACAGAAAAACAAACAGAAGTATGTAGTTAATTATATGAAACAGTGAAAGGCAACAAATTCTCAGGAGCTGTAATCGTTTGCTATTTTTACAGGATAAAAACATTAATCATTTGTCATTCTTTGATTTTCTGTTTATCAGCTAACAGTTTTAGGACCACCTGATAAAAAGTAAACCAGACAGAATCGCATTAAGTGAAATAACGTATGAAATTACTAGTGTCAGATAAGGAGGACTAGCACTTATGGCTCTCCACATGGAAAATAAAAACTCTGAATCAAAGCCTTCTGTCAATGTGAAAAATATTAAGCTATATTCTATACATTAAGCTCTGACTCCTTAATACAGGAATTGTTTGTATTCTCATACATCTATTGGCACTGTTGAATTAAATGGGAATGAAAAGTGCAAGGGTTAAGTTAGGTCATATGTTAAAACAACCTAATTTCTTTAACAGTTGCTAGTGAACATTGTGGCTGCTGTGATTTGTGCCACGTTCTGACACAAGTATTGTTTTCATTCTGAATGTGTATGAACTCGTGTACTGCCATTTAAATATCAGTGAGACATGAAAGGTCAAAAAGCTGAACTACCAGAAACACAGTACATATGTAACACATTGGGAAATAGAACATTTGGCCTCCTCCCTAAATCTTTAACATTTACAAGGATTAGAGCATAAATATTGACGTTCACCTCAGCGACCTGCTGCTGAGTCATCTTAGTTGGGTTCATTTGCAGCTACGCCGTCATCATGTCTTCATATGAACCCTGTAGTCGAGGGCTACTATGAAGGATGCATCTCCTGCTGGATTTCATTTAAGCTTTTAAATCAGAGACTGAATTACTGTACTTGTGCATATTATACACAGTGCGATTCAAATGATCTCTCGTATCAATTCTTTCTTTATTTTTCTAATCAAAGTCTCTGAAAAAATGACCTCAGGTGTCATTCAGTGTACCGACTAAATCTGCCTTACAAACAGCTTAAGGATGGCCTTTCAGCACTGGGAAATCTTTGGCCTCCTAGTAACAGTGAATTAAAGTGAACTGTTCTTGTCATGGCTTAGAGCCGTCTCCTGTCTCCGACCTGCCCGCTGTCACAGAGTAAGAGCCTTTAAATGTGACGTGCCTTCTGTCTCGCAGCAACAACCTGACCTGTTGGCAGGTTAGGAAATTAGCCCTGGTTTGACTCTTTGCAGCATTGCACTCTGAATCTACTCTAACTCTAAAGAGTTATGTAATGCTTGTTCCTGCCTAAAGAAGTGCTCTCCACAGGACCTCGTGTTTTGTCAATTTTATTCCTTCTTGCTGATAAAAAACTGATTGGGATATGTTCATTGGCTGTGCATCTCTTGCCTTAGCTTTGCATGTGTACAGTATGTACTGGCCTCCTTTTATTGTAGAGTATACAGCAGACATAAGTGTAAGGATGGAATCAGGAATCACAATAAAACATCCGGAAACATTGATAAAGGATTAGTCTGTGCCATTGTTTACTTTTCTCACAATATGATTTTAACGCAAAGGCTGAAAGCGTGAAAGTCTAATTTGATTGAGTCCTTCCCTGCAGCTGATATCCAGGTGGGATGAAAGAGATGTATAGTTGATTTCCTGAGTGAACAACTGTGTTCTGGTTGATAAAAAGTCTTTTGTCTGAATGTGTGTTACCACAGAGCCCTTCTCTGTCTTTTTACACATGACAACATGTGTGCCTGCTGATACATGACCTGAGAGATGCCGGTGGTCTCATACCAAACATTCCTCCGCTTTATAAATAAATACACTTTAGACACAAGTGCTCATGTTACACCAGCTTCATACTAATTTATACTATGTCTCTATTTTGCAGCAAATCTGTTCAATCAAAGGTGGAAAACATTCTGGTGAGTAATTTTAATGAATCCTTTTCATTTTACTGTCATCTGTTCAAATATTGTTTCCTGACGGGTTAAATTTTTTTCTGTTATCTTTTCAAAAAGTGAGAGGAAAATCTGTTCAGCAGCTTTTTAGATCTGTGCTCAGCATATGTGATGACTTGTCAGGGCCCCATAAGGTCAGTTGTTGCTCCTTGTATTATTACTTTTTTACAACAGGAAGGTTTATTATTTGTAAAACTATCCCTGAGGGTAAAACATTGTTTTTATGCTGGATGTCAGCACACAGATTAACCTGTGACAGCAGTGTCATAAAAAGGTCAAGTATGCTTTCACTAGACCGTGAACGGAGTATGATTCAGTACATTGCACTCCCTAAAGGTTAGAGGGAAACACTGCAGTTTAATTTTGAATGAATTATAGTGTTGAGCCCATGATATTATAAGGTAGTACTGCTATTCTCTGGTGTTTACCACTAATTAGTATGGAAATTTAAAGTATGCTATAAAGTATACCTGTTAATCCCCTTTGGAGCACATTTCATTTTGGCCTGAAGAAACCTCATGAAGTTATCAAGCACTGGGAACGAAAACTGGACTTTTTGATTAATCTGCCAGTTATTTTCTTTATTAATGGATTAATCATTTAGTAGCAAACATCCATCAGAGGTCTTTACAGTTTTATCCAACCAGCAGTTCAAAACCAAAATATATGTCTTTTATTGTCATGTGTGACAGAAACAAGTAACAAATCCTCACATTTCAGAAACTGGAAAATTGAAAAAATGACTGAGACTAGTAATTGATAATCAAAATGTAATAATCTTCTTTCAACTGACTAATCGTTGCTGCTCTGCTGGGCTCAGTCAGTTGCGTTTTGCTCTGTCTGGTACGTTTTGATATTTCTTGTTGTGTACCTATTGTAGGACACTAGAGCTACTGGATCTGTTATAGATTTCATAACCTGCTGTACAGAGAAGAAGTTGAATCCTAGTCAGAGCCAGCCCATGTCATACTTTACTGTATTCCTGTTTAGGTTTGTACTTGCTGGCAGTTTAACCTCGCCTGTTCAGTGACAATACAACAGTACTTTGTTTTGAGTATTTTGTTTTTTGAAGACAAGCTCTCTGGAGTGTGACAGTCTGCCACTGTTAGGAGCTGGGAGCTGCAGAGCTACATGTTGAATACTGAAGGAATTATTGTTATTTCTTTGCTGAAATTACGATGAACCCTACACAGTATCCACCACTCCTGATCTCAAACAGCAGCTTCTGTTTCAGACTTTTAGCTACAGAGAGCTCCTCCATGGCCAGCTGTTTGAAAGAACTACTCGCAATCCAAAAATTGCTTCTTATAACCTTCCTTAGGTGGCAGGCGGGGCTAATTTACAGAACGTACTTTGACTGCACAGGATAGAGAAATCTGAATAACAACAGAAGGGCTGTAGGCAGCAGAGTGTCATGGAGGGGGTGTCTGATTTTTACTGGATTTATGAGGCAGTGTGTACAATCTTAGTTAAAGCACTGTTAAGTGTAGCTGTCTGCAGAAGAGTTGCATTTCAGTCTTCACACTGGTAACATTTGTTTCAAGCTAAAGTGGCTTGGGGGGGGGGTGGAGTTCACTGTGCAGATGTGATGGCACAGAACAGTGAGAGTACAAGTCAGCAGATCAGAAGTGAGTCACTGAAAAGGCCAAGGGTGTCCTCTGAGTGGTACACGAGTTTTCACACAATTGTGTTTGAAATGAAGCCTGCACATAAAAGAAACTGCCCACAGTGATTGCCCAGTGTAAAAATGACAGTACTTATTTATGAGAATTTTGTGTATTGACCCAGACTCCTTATGGCAGACATGGGTACTTTTTCAGCAAAGCTGGACAGATTAAGATTTATTCTTAGAGGCCAGATGAAAGGAGGGAATATGTCTGAGTGAAAGCATGCATTGGCAGCATGTGGATGTGTGTCTGCACACTCACTGTGCAGTGAGCTGTTCTGAGAGGAGGGTTAACATTCAAGTTAAGAAGGGTAAGGACTCAAGTTCACTCTACAGGCTGCCCTGCAGAAACTATCTGTCTCTGTGTGGACTGTACAGTATGTGCTTGTGTGTCTCAGCTGTATGCACTGTCTCTCCAATTAAACTCATTTTTTTAAAGGTGCATTAACTAAGATCTTACACATTGCCTGATAAATCAAGTGAAAATAGGGTAGAACATGGTCCCTCTGCTCTCCTATCCCCCTCCATGACACTCTGCTGCCTACTTCTGCTTTTAATGCCATGGCTTGACATTACTTTGTGCTGATGGACAGGAGGGCAAAATATTCAAACCACCTTTTCATTTCTACAGCAAGATGTTGAGAAGTTCTCCGACATTGAAAAACTCTACCTCTACCTTAAGCTGCCCTCTGGTCCCAGCAGTAGCACTGATAAAAGGTAAGAATACACCTGCATTCTGACAGTATTACAGGCAGGAGATGAAATGTTTGTGAAACAGGAAACCACATTAATGAGTAATCATTAAACTGGACACCTATATATTTGCTATTGTCTTTAAAAGGTTTATTATATGGATGTCTCCCATTCCTTCCATCAGTGGAAGGAATAGGACTATGTAACATTGGGGATTTACAGTGTATATTAATGGTAGGGTTAGGGTTTTGTGATGTTTCATCAGCTTCAGGAGAAATATGGCTTGTTAAAGAAAGACTTCTTTAGGTTTACCTTATATTACTACTTTTCAGAAGACAACACCCGATAAACTGGACCAATACCGTTGAGAAAGACATGTAATCTCTCTTAGATACCGTATGAGGTATTGCAAGACATCATACAAGTAAACTGTATAAAGAAACACTGGGAAATAGAAATAGGCATGAGATACCAGATTACATCAGGGATGACAGTCCAGATATGTGCTCTATTAACACCAGGCCCTGTTTAATACAATTTAAAATTTTACAGGTTGCATTACTCAAAGATTAAACTGAATAAAATCTGTCCAGACATGTCCCAAATCAGTGAGATGTGTGACCAGGGAGAAGCAGATTTATTTCACAGCTATGCTTTATGTCCCTGAATACAAGAGTTCTGGCTGGTGATATCCACCTTTTTCATGAATTTTAAAAATCTAACTAAAGCCAGATCTGCTTTTTGTTATACCGGGGATGTCAGACACCTCAAAGATGCTGCAGAATGCACAGCGGCATCTCCTGATACACAGCCTCTTCAGTGCAAAGAAACTTACTATCATGTTTTGTAAAAAGAAAGTGGGACCATTGCTTGAGCTGTGGATAACAACACTGACTGATACCCTACATGTGGAGAAAAGCCAGATTATCCTAAACAACAGATGAAGGGAATTTGAAAAGATCTAGAGACCAGTGATCTCTCATATGACAGTGTGTGACAGTTAGGCTGCCTGCACACAGGGCATTGTACAGCACCTTTTTTCTAGGCTGCCTGCACACAGGGCATTGTACATTTCAGTTACCTGTGCACTGGTTGCATATTTGGTTTTGCTATGGAAGGAATCATTGTAACTGGATAGCCTTAAGGCACTGATGTTTTACTCCATCTGTGTTTCAAAGTAAAAACATTTGAAACAACAAAGTTATTTTGTGAATCATAAAATGGCAAAATTGCTAATGAACGATCAACCTCTTTTCTCAGTGACCAGAGCGCCCTGTCATCAAGCCGCACACAGCAGATGCATGCTTTCAGCTGGATCCGCAGTCACTTAGAAGAATATCCAGAGACCTCTCTTCCCAAACAAGAGGTTTATGATGAATACAAGTAAGTAAAAACACCAGGATTTTTTTTGTTTAATGAGAATAAATGTATTAGTTTCTACCATAACAAACCATTTTCAAGCTGTAACTTTATTATTCCACAAATAGTTTTTCATAAAACTATAAAGTACAAAGAATCAGATTGTTTTACCCTTATTTATGTAGAGCTTTTTACTGCTTATTAGATTCTTATCAGTGATGTTGTACTTCATGGCTACTGATGTTTGAGTTTCTTTCTCCTCTAAACTACTGTTGGTTAAAGCTGACATTATAAATAGATGCTGCAGGCATGAGAATCAAAGAGCAGCATGTGGTGGTAATATTAGAATGGAAAGTCTGAGACAGTCATTGAAATGCTCTGGCAGTGTTATGTAAGTGTCTTTTTAACTCCACCAGAACAGAAATACAGTGCCCTCCAGAAATATTGGCGCCTTTGGGATAGACAGGTGAAAAGGCTTTAAAGAGACATAATGTGTTTCACTTCAAAACAATAAAACATTTTATTGTGTACAATGGAACAAACGCATTTGTCAAAATCTTTTTTAGACTGTATTACAATGGCTACTGAGCTTTTCCTAAGGGCATCATTTTTCTCCTATATATACACACACAGAGAAATATATATTTCACCACCTTGGCATTATTCAGCCAGCAGTATGTTGAGGAAGTAAACTACCCGGTAATTAAATGGCAAGTATGTGTATCAAATGCTCAGTGGAGCATTTGCTCTCACTTTAATCAGTTGTCCAACACAATAATGATTTCACCAACACAGATTTTGTCAGGACTGTAGTTAACTTTCCAATGAATAAACTACAATTTATGGTACATACATGTATCTGTATGGTGCATGTTCTATCTATTAGGGTCACTTTATGTTAAATGGGAATTTGGATAATGCCACAATAGAAGAATATCAGATATGGATTTCACTTGGAGTTTATTTTGCATGAGCCTCATTTTACAGTTTTGTCAAACTATTACAGCACAACTGTTGCAATTCTACAATGTTAATTTCACATATTATGACTCTAAACTAACACTAACCGATTATTGGCCACGTGGAGGCAGAGCACAAAGCTACAACATTGACATATTAAACAGCAGCGTATCGTACACATCCAGCAGTTAACAGCCTTCATCTGAAGTTGTGTTTCACATCACCTGATTAGTTTAAGTCAGATTCACTTGCATTTAGCACCCTGTTTTGGTCTCCACCAACTCTCATTAGCTGCTAAGTGTTCACATAGTTGCCAAGTGTGACTGTCTCCTATTTGGTGCAGAGCAGATGGTGTAAAGTTGGTTGGTACACTCTTGTTTTTTGGTTTTTGTTTCTTTAAATACCACAAGAGTGGTGAGGATGAACCAAAACAATAAAGTTGAGGGCCGTAAAACCAAAACAATGACCTGAGAGATGTTAAAATGCTACGGTGTGGCAAACTGCAGAGTCAGGCGACATATTGTAGTTGGTTCATCGCTACGGCTGAAACTAACATTATACAGGTAACTTTATCCATTGTTAATTAGGATATTTATTATAGCAGTTTTAATTGTTCACATTGTGAACAAAAACTTAAAAATGAGTTTTAGAATAGAAAAAACATTTACATTATTGGCTGAGAAAATAATGTTATATTGACACTGATTGATAATTCAAGTCAAACACTGTGGTTTGATCTAGTTATCTTTATTTATTTCATTTTGTTTGCTTTTATAGTTTCATTTACATTTATTCTGTCTGTTATGTGTCTCAGGAGCTTCTGTGACAATCTTAATTACCATCCACTGAGCGCTGCAGACTTTGGAAAAATGATGAAAAACGTCTTCCCCAACATGAAGGCGCGTCGACTTGGCATGAGAGGAAAATCAAAATATCCTTCACTGGAATGGATTGTAACGGTCTGTCACTGGTCACACACCATCTGCTGTTGCAGTTCATAAGCTCTCTAAATATAGATGTGAAATGAAATAAAGTCTCTTCTGCCTCAGAAGCCGAAGCATAATATAGAACCCCCCACTGTGATCTTGACCTACATGATGCATTCAGACTTTTTTTTTGCTGACGTTTTTGTTTGTATTCACGACCTTCGATCATTCAGGTTAATAACATACGGTTATGTAATTTGAGGTTGTAGGTCATTAATTTTATGGGTTATGATGTGCACCTTTTCTTTGAACAAATTAGCAAATGTCTATCATCCAAGGAATCAGGGATTCATCTTTGTTTATACATTATTCTCAGTATAACCACAAATTAAAGACGTGTAAAAAAAAATAAATAGAAAAAAAGCAATCACAGCATTGTGAGAAATTATATAGTTGCATTTCTGTCCTCACTGAATGCCATGAAATAAAGAATTTATCTTTATGCTGTTAAAATAAATTGAGACTTACTATAGAAGTAAATTCTAATATCTCATTCTGATCTTACATTAAGTCACTGGCTTTCACTGTCTGTTCACTCTGTTGGACTCAGGACTGTGAAATGTTTATGCCCTGCCACATCTGAATGTGGATATTTTTGTCTTCTGTGTTATATATTTGGTGCACGGTCTGTGTAATGCAAATCAGATCAATATGTTCATTTCTACTAAAAGGAAATAGTTTGAACTTTCAAATAAACCCAAGATAGAAAACCATTTTCAGAATCTTAGTTATACATTGATTTTGGACTTTTGGAGAATTGAATGTCCAGTTTTCTATTATTGATTTCTTCACATGGAAAATGTAACTTTTACACAGACTACATACCAGTCATATTATTCCATATGTTGCCAGAAAATGTAAATTTTCTGGACTCACGTTTGTGGCCTTAACACCAGTTTACATATTGCTACAGTGGACTAAGGAAAAGGCCCTTTGTTCACATGCCATCATTACCTACTCTGGATCTTCATAAACCAGGGGATGGAGTAAGAACATTTACATCTTCCTTTATTATATATTGCAGACTTATCTGATTCATTTCTCACTGCCTTGGCACGAAGTGTGCCATATAACCTCATATCTACTGTGTGCAGCTCCAGTGCGATGTTCTAGACTCACCTGGCCAGCTAAGCAGTATAAAGGAGGAGGTGCGATTTGCAGCCTGCGATCTGGTGTGTGAATGGGCCCAAAAGGTGCTGAAACGCCAGTTTGATGCTGTTGAAGATTTGGCTCGCTTCCTAATTGACAGCCACTGCATCAGCAACAAGTCTTTGGCAGCTCTCACCATAATGACTGGCACAGCAACAGGTGAGGTTTTCGCTTGAGAAAAAGAAGTCAACAGAGACATCTGGTGGCAGTGGCCCATTACTGCACTTACTGGCTGCATCTGTGCCCTATTGAGGCTCTGTGATTAAAGATGTGACCAATGCAACAATGTAAAAATGCTCTGTTACAAGTTAAAGTCCTGCATCTAAAAGCCTACTTCAGTAAAAGTACAGTAATCAGCAAAATGTACTTATTTAGAGTATCACATCTTAAAGTAAAGTGGCCCATGTGAGTGATGTATAATTTGATATGACATTATTAGACTGTTGATACTGATGCATCAGTGCTAAATTATCATTGTACTGTTGCAGCTGGTTGAGGTGGAGCAGGTTTTAACTACTTTATGTACTGTTAGTTTGTTAAGTAGCCTAGTTTAGTGGTTTCCGACCAAGGGACCAAGATGCTGCACAAATCTGTAGGCTTTGTTTTGTTTCTGAAATGTAAAGCATCTCACACACACACAGCAACATTACTTAAAATGGCCGCAGGTTAAAACGTTGGCAAGTAAAAGCTCAAAATCTCTCAGAGGAATTACTTACTTTGTGTTGCAGCTCATTCCAGTAGTATTGTTCATAGTACTGGAAACCAGTCTCCCCCTGTTCCCAGTTTGTGTGAGGCACTTTTAAGGCCAGTCTCTCCTGTGACCTAGTGCCATGGTCATGAAATCTGAACTCAACTAAGTATGTTAAATAACCCACCAGTTTGGATAGCCGGGCCTTACAGATGAAAACACAAGTATGGTGATACCTTCTACGTGCCAGCGATGGCAACCGACCTTCTCGTATAACTCACAGCTGTCAGTGTGTAATGAATCGGATGACGCAGTGGCCAACAGCATCCAGTGGTTTTAAGGGTAGTAGTAACTAGACGAGACAAAAGTTGAACTTTTTGGAAGGTGTGTGTCCCATTATGTGTGGTGTAAAAGTAACACCGCATTTCAGAACAAGAACATCATACCAACAGTAAAATATGGTGGTGGTAGTGTGATGGTCTGGGGCTGTTTTGCTGCTTCAGGCCCTGGAAGACTTGCTGTGATAAATGGAACCATGAATTCTGCTGTGTACCAAAATATCCTGGAGGAGAATGTCCGGCCATCCGTTTGTGCCCTCAAGCTGAAGCGAACTTGGGTTCTGCAGCAGGACAATGATCCAAAGCACACCAGCAAGTCCACTTCTGAATGGCTGAAGAAAAACAAAATGAAGACTTTGGAGTGGCCTAGTCAAAGTCCTGACCTGAATCCAATTGAGATGGTGTGGCATGACCTTAAAAAGGCAGTTCATGCCCGAAAACCTTCCAATGTGGCTGACTTACAACAATTCTGCAAAGATGAGTGGGCCAAAATTCCTCCACAGCGCTGTGGCAGACTCATGGCAAGTTATCGAAAACGCTTGATTGCAGTTGTTGCTGCTAAGGGTGGCCCAACCAGTTATTAGGTTTAGGGGGCAAACACTTATTCACACAGGGCTTTGTAGTTTTGGATTTTGTTTTCCCTTAATAATAAAAACCTTCATTTAAAAACTGCATGATGTGTTTACTTGTGTTATCTTTGACTAATATTTAAATTTGTTTGATGATCTGAAACATTAGTGTGACAAACATGCAAAAAGATAAGAAATCAGTAAGGGGGCAAATACTTTTTCACACCACTGTAGTGGATTGTATAATGGTTTTTCTGCTTTCAAAGGAGAAACAAGCTCTGTTTCATTATAGAAAGCCAATTTGATTTTTTGTTTCTGAACAAGATGTTCAACATTTATAAGACGGTCTACTATCTGACCAGACTCCTAAATATTTCTAATGCTGGGCTGTGTCAGTTACATTTCCCCTTAGAGTATGGGTAGGATTGGGAGCATCAGTGATTCGAGCTCTAGTGCACATTTAGTCTATTTGGAGTTTAGAACAAGTTTTAAGTTAAACAGAGGGGAGTGCAGGTCAGGAAGAACAGCCTGTAGTCTGAGCTGGTGCCTTTGGAGAACAGGACGGCATCTTCAGCACTTAGTGTGTTTACATACAGTTCTTGAGTAAATGTACTTACTGTAGGTACGTTCCACCAGTGCATATTACGTTCTCATATTGTATGATATATACACTATCTAAATCTTAATGTTTCCTGTCTTCAGAGGTTAAGACGCCACCGGCGGTGTCAGCGTTTGTCCCAACTACTGAGGTTCACTCCTTCCAACCTCATGTCGCCATGTCATCACCTTCTGTTGATGCAAAGCAGCAGCTCCAGAGAAAGATCCAGAGGAAGCAGCAGGAACAGAAGTTGCACTTCCCCATACCTGGAGAGGGACCAACTAAGAGGGCAGATGACAGTGTGCCTTGTGGTAGCCCCACCCCTCCGTCGCCTCAGCCAACCATAGGCATTGTGGTCGCTGCTGTCCCAAGCCCCATCACGGTGAGAAAACATAAATTCCTTTACATCTGAGTAAATTATATAATTTTCTTAATGCTTAGAGCCTGTAAAACATAATCAGTACTCAGTAAAGTAATCACCCACCCATCTATTCATCCATCATCTAAAGTAATCACCCACCCATCTATTCATTCATCCATCATCTATACCACTTATGCTGTAGAGGGTGGCAGGTGGGCTGGAGTCAATCCCAGCTGAAACTGGGCGAGAGGCAGGGTGCACCCTGGACAGGTTGCAAACAAATAATCAGACTAATGGAAGTTGTGTTACACTCATTTTAATAACTCAAAAACATTAGAGTCAGTGTTATTTGTTACTTTGTCAGTATTTCAGATAAGAGTTTAACTTGTTTCTGTTTAAGAAAAACATCCCTGATCATTTATATTCCTGAATAGCCCACCCCGTCCTAAAAACAATACATGGCCTGCTTTGCTGGAGACTGTAGTGACAGTTTTATAAGCCTGATATTAAAGTTAGTTACACAGATTTTAATATGGTAACAAAACTGTGTAACAGCAAACAATTTTCTCCTTGTATGTAGTTACACAGATTTTAATATGGTAACAGAACTGTGTAACCGCAAACAATTTTCTCAGAAATAGTCAGTTTTGGATGCAAACTTGAAAATTACTGAATGAAAATGTACAAGTAGAAATGACATAATATGTTGTCAGAAACCTTAAGACAATTGTCTGTATTTCAGTTGCTCCACTTCTGACTGACCCCCCCTCTCTTCAGGTACAGAGAAGCAGGCAGTTGATGTCTCCCACCCCAGGGGGAACAGTGGAGAGTAAGGTGCTGCCTATTAACTTCCAAATGGTGACACAGCCAGTTCAGCCGGTGATGCACAGCCCCAGGACCCCACAAAATATTATGTCCAGCCCAGTGGGAGAGCGCACTACTCGGCAGCGCTATGCTCAGATCCTGCCCAAACCTTTGGCCTCGACTGCTATCACTTTGCGCTCGCCCTCCACCATGATCATCACCAACAACTCCATTAAGTCTGTGATGACAACATGTCATGTCAGCCCAGTCAGTTTGGTCAAGATGACAGCCATATCGCTTGCGCCCAGCAACAGCAATACAACCACATCCCTTATAAACACCACTCTGCGGCCAGCCTCTGCAGGCATGACCAGTTCTACAGTAGCAGAAGACAACAGCTCCAATCAGAGCCTGAGGAGCACCTCTGCAGTCCCTGTTCTGGCCTCGGAGGCCAGGCCAGACCAGCCTACTAACACTCACAGCATCGATGTTGAAATGGAAGTTGAAGCTCTTCATAAAAACAGCCAAATACAAAATCCTTGCAGTTTGACTCAAGAACCAATGGCAAACAGACCCAGAGGGGCTATGCAGAGGGCTGCAAGTGTGCCCATACCTCAGACTAAAAGCGCAATGTGCCTGGAGGAAACATCTATCACTGAAAACAATGGAAAGTCTTCCTCGAGCACTCACACTGTGGTAGCAGACGAGAGCAGCAATACTAGTGCTAATAATACAAGCACTTTGCACTTAACTCCCTCCACTCAGAATAACAGTGCTGTTTCCCTACTGAACACCAGCAGAACACCTTCATTTGGGGAAAGCAGCAATGTAACATCAGCAAAGGAAGGTTTCTTGTCCACTAAGAGCCTCAGGAAACGCTCGGGTCCCAGCCCAGACCATTCACCATTGAAAAGAATTTTTATGTCCCAGCAGCCAGGTGGGGGCGGTGCTGGACTTGGATATAGCATCACAAACACAGTTGGGAACATTTCAAGGCAAGGGGTTACAGCTAGACCTGAAAGTGCACCAGCCACCAGGGAGGTGGAGTTGAAAATGAACACCAGTCAAGTCCATGCGCTCTGCGCTCCCTCTTCCAGAGCCAGCAGTTTTTACTCTGTTGCCACAACACACAACGCAATGCAGAGGAAAAACGCTTCCACTGGTTTGGAATTTGACACCTCAGTCAGTCACACATTAATACAGCAACAGCAGGCTCACGCAGTGGCTAACATGCATGTGATACCAAATAACCCCGGCCTCCAGAAACATTCAAGTGTGAGTGATGTTAGTTCAATCTCAGCCAGAAGGAGCTTGGAAGGAACTCAACAACAGACTTACACTCAGTCAAACCCTGCTATCGAACCCTTAGAGTTTTTGAATCAATCCTCATCACCCAGTCAGCTCTCCATGCAGACGGATATGGACTACTTTCCATTTGATGATGATGTGACTCAGGATAGCATTGTGGAGGAGCTGGTGCAAATGGAGGAGCAGATGAAACTGAACATGCAGGAGTTTGTCACACTGCAAGGCCAACAGGCTGTGATGCCGGACAACATTATGTCCACCAGTCAGTCCATGACTGCTTTCTATCATGCTGCAAACAACAACAGCAACCCAATCCAAACTCCAACACCAACACCCACTCCCACACCCACATCAGAAATGATGGGGGGAGCCCAAGGCCTCACTGGAGAGAGTCCCTGCTCGCACATCGCCTCCACCACCCCAGTGGACAGCGCACTGGGAAGCAGTCGTCACACTCCAGTTGGTACTCCACACTCCAACTGCAGCAGCACTGTGCCTCCCAGTCCAGTGGAGTGCAGGAACCCCTTTGCATTCACACCTATCAGCTCCAGCATCACTGGCTTCTATGATGGCAGCACTGTCTCCAGCAGCCCTGTCAAGCCCATGCAGAGGCCGATGGCCACACACCCAGACAAGACCAGGCTAGACTGGATGAATAACAGTTACAACAGCAGTAGTGGGAGCTTTAATAAGTCGAACAGTGGGATGGGAATCCTCCCCAGCTATCAAGGCTTGCTAGAAGACCACTTTCAAAAACCTCACGCTTTCGCTGTCCCTCATGCACGACACCATGACAGCAATTTTGGCCGTTTGACTCCCATCTCGCCTGTGCAGCAGCAGGTAGCTAGCATGGCTAACATGACCAGGCAGGAAGGTTTTGCTGTGCCTGCACCTCTGGATAATAAAACTACCACTACACCTGCTACTAATTTTCGATGTCGCAGTGTGAGCCCTGCTGTGCATCAGAGAAATTTGAGTGGAAACACAGGAAACAGTGCCCTTCCCAATATCCCTCGTCCAGTAGTGTCTCCCTTTAACTCTCCTGTGACGCCTGAGGTGTTGAACATCTTTGCAAACAGCCAGGCAAACCTTGGAGGGAGCAGCATGGCTCAGAGGAGCCGTTCTGTGCCAGTCAACATCATGATGCAAACCCAGGTTGCACCCACACCAGGTCAACAGTGCAGCGGCAAAAACATTGCCAGTGTCCTCCTGAGCAAGCTGGACGGAGACCATGACGACACCGTGCGGGGTCTGGGCATCAGTCATTTACCCTCCAGCTACACAGCACGTATGAATCTCACCCACATCTTCGAGTCTGACCCCAGCCTGTCCTGCACTGGCAGCCACCTCAGCCTGATGACCCCTGAGTCCACCAGCTCATGCACGTTACAGAGGCCAAATTACCTCATAGAAAGTGCTATTAATGAACAAATGATTCTTTCAGCAGATGACAGCCAAGTACAGTCAGCCTCTGGAGAGCATCAGCGGGGCCAGCCTATGTTGTTAACTAACTCAGAGCAGCAGCCAGAAGAAGTACAGCAGCATCAGCAGCTGGATTTCAGCAGCACTGTCAAAGACCTCCTGGCAGAGAACAGTCTCACTGCTGACAGTCCGCTCATGGAACAGGTGTCAGAGCTGACAACGGCTGGCGCAGACTTCCCTTGTGAAATCAGAATGACATCGGAACTTTCCAGTAGCATCAATGACCTTAATGCACTGGACACAAACCTGCTGTTTGACCCCAACCAGCATCAAGGGCAGTACCAAAACACTGCTCCAGAGGGGTTGGTGAATAATCCGCTGTTTCAGCAAAATACCAGCGAGACGGCACATTCAACTGGACTCGAGTGGTTAGAAGGCAAAGATCATCCAACTGTTGGGTTGATGGGTTGAGAATACAGCTTTTTAAAATTGTATCAATCATGTTAATCTGCGGTTGCTGTTTGCTTTATTTATTTTCAGGCATTTACACTTTATATTGCAACACTGGACACGTTGAGGTTTGTCCAGTTTAAGTGCCAGGCTGAACTGAAACACTCTGATTAAAATGCTGGTCATTTCCCTTTAATCAGAGAACATCACCTCACATTTTTGATTAAGTGCATTTCCAACACGTAAACAAAGGTTACTGGTGATAAAAGAAACCAATTTTAACCTGTCTGAATAGACAGTGATTTAAAAACAAATTGAAGCAGAGCCACGGATTTCTTAGAATAAGGAACTGTGGAAATGAATGAAACAAAGCTATTACAAATAAGCCTTTTACAACCATATTTCTTTATATTATTGTGTCTAAAACTTGTCCACTGCAGGCGTTATTTAAATAATATGTCATCGCATTTGTATGCAATATAATATACTGGAAAACATCTTTTTGGAGCTTCAGGTGTGAGTCTGGTCTCAGTGCATTTTCTTTAGCTGATCACGGTTTTAACGAGATATTTAAAAGTATACAAACACATTTTATAGGAATATTGTTTTTTGACAAAAGCATAAAACCAAATTAATCCATTTAATATAATCTTTTTATCAGTTACATTGATAAATGATCTAAAGAGTTGGCATGCAACATATAATGGGATGTGGAATAATTTAAAATAATAAATCTATTCTTATCCTAAACATAATACTTCATTTTTTGATGGTTCACTTTGATGAGCATATAAAGGTTATTTATTAACACTGTGGAAATTTACCAGCACCAGAAAAGGAAGTGATATAAACGATCAATCTCTGAAATTTTATCATTTTATTATCAGACTTTGAGCCTTTCATAATCATATGATATGATGATTTGACAAACCAGGTCAAATTCTCTTTATCACCAACACCCAGCTCATAAACTTGTAGAGAATGTCGGTAAAATAACTGGACCTCTTTTTTCACAGTTCTTTATTTTTAAAAGTCTCATTTTGCAAAAGTTTGAAAAAAGTAGTAGTGAATAATCATGATTGTAATAATGTAGAAGATTTGTTACTGTAGACAACTGTAGTTAATTGTGTCAAATTACTGCTACTTGTAGAAAAGGACTAAGACATGCTATTATGTTGCAGTAGAGAAACTAAATGTTGTAGAGAATGTCACACTTGTTTTTAAAACATTACGTGCGATTTGAATATTGCGGCGAAGCTATGGAGAAAAACTATAACTGTTTCATCCAAAGATACGTTAAGAAAAATATGCAGTGTATTATATACAAAAAATGAGGACAGATTAGTTTTGAAGGAAACATCTGCATTGGTGGTTCAGAACTACTGGGAAAAGGGAAACATTTATTTAAAAAACAATTATCTTCAGAATTAAAATAAACCCTTTTCACTGTGGGTTTTTGCACTTTTAAAGTATGGATCTTGCATAAAAGAATTATGGCACAGCAAAAATAAAATTAAATGATCGCCACTTTGCTTAGCACTTGAACAATGCATTATTTGTAACGTGTAAACTGAAAATGGACTGAGTAGTTGAAAGTGTAAGGAACTTAATACATTTCCTAATGTTGCACTCATCATTCTGCACTGACAATCTGTAAAACTTGTTTATTCACAAAAATGCACTGTTTCTTTTGAGGGGATATTTTCACTGACTGTCTTGAGGACTCTGATCAAATGTGAAGGTCCAGCTCTAAAACTGGTGATGAGCAGCATGTAACGTGTCGCGCATCCACTGTCCATACCAAAGACTAATGGTTAAATACAACCTGCAACAACGTGCACTAAGATCTTGGGTGTCTAATATAAGTCTCCTGTGTTATGTTTGGTGACATTCGTAGCATCGGGACAATATTAAAGATTTCTTTGTTTACCACTGTTGATGCTTTTATAAACCCACCAGGTACATCATGTTTTTATGGAGGCAAAAAAAAACCCACAAATTTATTTATGAACTGTTTATCTGTGTTAGCATTAGATCCCTGAGTCACCTTATTTGGTGTTGGTGTGGCCAGTTGTCCAGTGTGCTTTTATTTTACTTACCTGTGTGTCATTTGTACAGAAACCTTGCTGACTAGATAAGTTTGTGTGTTCACAATAATCATCTATTAACCACGCAGTTATGTTTTGTAGCATACTTTCTTAGTGTTGTAGCATATAACAACACATCATACACAATACTTCCTTTTTCAGTAGATGATTTGTCCAGTATGTTGTGGCGAATAAATTCGGAATTCAGCTTGTGATCTAAAAGTTTTCAGAACTGGATTTTGGCAGAAAATGAGTCCCAGAAGAGACTTGCACAAGTTTTAAAATGCAGAAATAAGACTATCCATGAATATACAGTATGTATGGTGTAAAGTTAATGCCACAGTGCTTTCAATCTCTTTTGTTAGTTGTTTTATACAGATAGCAGTAGCTTCTTTTAACTTCTGTAAAAGCAGATTATTGTAATATATGCTCTCATGTTAAATCGAATTTAATATTGAGTATTCTAGACAAAGGTTTCTTATTTATGTTCAGCTTTTGAATCTGTTATGGTCATTTTGATGTTTAACTTGTATGTTTTGGAAAAAAAACATTTGCATTTATTTTGTAAGCACTGATGTTTATGGTGATGAAGACTATACCCTTCCTCTTGTTGTAAGTGGTGCCAGAACTGTAATTGTGTTGCTGTAGTTAATGTAGAGGGGACTTTTTTTGCATTTTAGCAAGTGTTTTTATAAGGGGAAGTGCTTCTTGATACTGATTTTTAAAGACATTTTAAAACTAATAAACATTTTTAAGTACATCGGTAAGAGTTAGTGTTTCTTTAATATCTGTGATTAGCATCAAAATATACTTAAAATATCAAAAGTAAAAGTACTCTTGTAGAATGACACATTTCACATTACTGGATTATAAGTATTGATGCATTATTGTGTTCATCACTTTAACGTTGCAACTGATAAAAGTGGAGCTAATTTTAACTATGTGCTTATAATTGTAGTCTGTTGGGTGGTTGGCGGCATGGTGGTGCCTGCCTCTGGGTTTAAACCCTGTGGCCGTGTGGGCCCTTTCTGTGTGGAGTTTGCATGTTCTCGTTTCTCCAGGTACTCTGGCTTCTTCCTAGCAGTCCAAAGACATGCAGGTTAGGTTGATTTGAGACTTTGCCCATAGGAGAATGAGTGTGAGTGGTTGTTTCTATGCGTTAGCCTTGTGATGACTGGTGACCTGTCCTGGTTGTACGCTGCCTCACCTCTCACCTAATGTCAGCTGTAATTGGCTTCCTGTATTTAATGTTAATGCTTTTCTTTGCCTATTGACTGTATATGCACTTTGAATTGCCTCTGTGTATGAGATTTGCTACATGAATAAAGCTGCCTAGGGATTTCTGGTCTGGTTCCAGGCTAAAAGACAATTTGATCTCTGGATAACATTTCAGTGCAGTCTGACACTGACTGCCTGCACCTGATATGGAGGAATGAAAACATCCTTTTGAAGTAACTGTCAAGAATCACGGAGTAAATGCTATGTACTGACACATAAGTGTAAGGTAAAAATTGAAAAAGCTATTTTTTATTTAAAATACCTTTAATGGTATGTTATTTGTCTAAGCAAAAGCAGTTTTCCTCAGACAGATAAGTGTCTCTGTTTTCCAAACCAACTACTGTTTATGTTTCTCTGGATGTTCTGTGTGAGAGCCAGAAGTAGACTGGCTTATTACAGCAGCAGCTCACCAGATATGGTCAGACCATTACTGAGATTGATTTTACAGTAACTCTGAGGTTACTCTAAGGTAAACTTGAGTGTTTGTCAGTGGTGGAACAAAAGCTGAGGTCTTGTACAGCACTTGAGTAAAATTATGTAGCAATATAGAAGAAACCCATTACAAGATAAATAAAGTGTGTATACATGCATACATATAGTGTTGTTTTGCGACCCTTTGTAATTTAGCATATTTTTAGCCACTTTGTGTCCATTCTTACTCATTTTAGATGTTTGTAGTCCTTTTGCTGTTACTTTTAGATTGTGTGTTTTTCAGTTGTTTTGAATCTCTTTATAGTTGTTTTGTGTCATAGTAGTGTGTTTTGCATACTTTAGTAATCATTTTGTTGTCTTTGGGGTTTTCTGCCTCTTTTCCAACAGAAACGTCAACAGTACATTCATAGTTCTCTGGTCTAAGGGTCCCCTAAACTATTTAATCCCTGGACATGTGCCCAGTAATGAGTAATCCATTCTTGGCATTGGTACATTTACTGAAGTAGAAAGTGTGAATACTTTGTCACCACTGGTATTGTTGTGGGTTTCCTGAGGCTGTAGCAGTGACAGTGCGAAAGGAAGAGGAGGAGGAGAAAAGGAAGGAAGGACGGAGGAAGGATACCGCGTATGACGACGGTGCCACCGTTGCTAGCCCGGAGTTCAGGTTCATTGTATCTCCCAGGGATTTAATAGAAGCAGAGTACTAACTAAACACCACAGGTCTTCTGCTGGTCGGTGTTGTCTTCTTGTTGTTTTCGTTCTCTGTGAGAATAAAGGGCGAGGGAATAATGGCTGCAGTTTCTCCACAGATCGGAGGACTTCCGACAGACGAGGTAAATTAACTGCTGTCGCACGAGCCAGTCGTTAACTACACCGCGCGTCGTTAGCCACCTGGCTAACTATTTAACGCTAACGTTAACTGTAGCCAACTAGCTGCCCACAGACAAACTGCGCTGGGCTAGCGAGCTAACTCTTTAGCTGGTTAACTTGGGTTTGGGGGGAGTTTTGTGGTAGTTCAGACGTGTTACTTACTGGTACAAAAACGATGTAATTGATCACCTGTAATTACTACACAGCTAATTAGAGCGCTAGCTGTCCACTTTTTCATCCAGGAAAACAACAGGCTCCGGAGCTGTTAACGCCTTCTCTCGTGGCTGTTCCCGTCCTCAATACACACACACACACACACACACACAGCAAAAAGAAATCGACAAAACTCTCAATTATTATGTTGTCAGTGCCCCCGGACTTGGTAACAGTCTTATGAGGACCTGTAGTTTAGCTTTCGCCAAGCCAGTGTGACAGAAAATTGACAAATTTAGCAGTAAAATTATATGGGGTTATGAAGGGAAATGTGCAAAAGTGAGAGTTATTTTCGGGATATTACGTCATCTCTGAGAGCAAACAGATTGTACTCGGGGTGTACACAGTAGGCATGTGATAAGGATTCGTATTAAAGGTATATTTATGTGATGAGTTTTGTTTAACGCCACTATTATTATGACACTATCTTCCTGTATATAGCATACCTGTGTGCGCGTGTGTGTGTGTAGCCTATATAGCTTATTCAGAAAAGCTTGCACTATGGCTCAACCAATCGATTATTTGTCCAGCCAAGTAACAGTAAATTAACAACACAAACGTCAAATATTTGCTGTTTCTAGCGTCTCTCGTGTGCTTTTCTTTGTCACAGATTAGTGCATTAGTGAATGCCCATAGATATTGGACTGATGGACACAGAACAAGGCATTTAAAGGTGTCACTTTGTTCTGTGTGACACCAAAGCAAGCATTGTTCACAGTTTTCAGGCATTTTGTTTTTAAAAGTTTGATCTTTTTTATCTATTTATCTGTCACTTATTTAACTAGTAGTAAAAAAAATGCCAATTTAAATTCCCAGAACAGCCCAGGTGAAATCATAAAATTTGTCAGTTCATCAATCCAAAACTCAAATATATGATAAAGAAAAGCCACAAATTTTCTTTTGTGAAGCTAAAATCAGCTTGGCCAATCATTGCAGCTTTCCTTTCATCAACACAAAAGAAAACGCGTTATATACTAAACTTGCGCTAACCTTGTGCAGAATGTTACCAGCCATTATCATCGGTGTAAGGTCCTAGTTTTTAATTTTAGCTCAGTTTCTATTTTCTAAGATGTTGGTTACTTATGTTTCATTATTTTATCTTGTCTGCCTTTTTGAGTGTTCCTATGTTGTTTGTGTGGTGATTTATGTCTTCATAAAGTCATTAGTAATTTTCTTATTATTTCAGAATGGCTCCAGAATCCTAAAAGTGAAAGTGGTTGCGGGAATTGGGCTGGCCAAAAAAGATATTCTTGGAGCCAGGTAAGATGGAGAAATTTAGCTGGTTAAAGATTATTTTAAAAACTTCTAAATACAATCTTAACAGTAAGATCTAATCAAGGGTTTATAAATTGCTGATTTTTCTGCCTTTATGCCTATGTTTTTATGCCTATGTCTAATTGCTCATGTTATAACCAAAGTTGTATTAGTATCACTCTAGTGTAACACTTAATACCTTACTAATGACGAAACAGCTGTGGGCCTAATGTGGTGTTAAGATTGGGTAATGCATAATTTAATGCGTGTGGTTTTGATACATGTCACAGGGCCTGAAACCATTATAAAAGAACAATTAAAGTCAACTTTGCATTGAGTATGAAGTAGCTGGACCCCATTATGTTAATGTTTCTCAGGTCTGAACGCAGGGCCTGAGCTGATCATATGATGATGTACAGTATTTTTTGTCCTGTAGGGCAGAACCACACCAAGCCAGTGGTCAACCATTGGCCACTATTGGTGAGCAGCTGTTGGGGCCATCTTCCTGGCGTGTCCCACATTGTTGGCCCTAGTCAGCCCCTGTTGGCAGCTTTTCAGATTTTTCTGATTTAACATGTCGAATTGGCGTGGGCCTCTTGGACCTCGTCAGTGAAAGAGAGACTACTCTGATTGGCTGTTGAGCTTAGTGTCAAACAGACATATTCTCAATTAGAAGCAGCTATAAACAGCAGCTGTTTTTAAGGAGTGGTGCTTTGTTTATAGCTTACACCTTTCTGAATGGTGAAGACAGATACTCAACGCGTGGGGGGGGGGGGGGGGGGGTATTTCTGTCACGCACGCACAAAACATATGTGCTAGTCGGCCGTTGGCTGTGTGTTCTGTTCAAGTGTCACTTTTTCAACGCAAATGGCCCATACAAAGGTGACATGAGGCAATGTAACAGTCAGCTTTTGTCACTGCTAGTTGTTTCACATCGGCTTGGTGTTCCTCTGCCTTTAGAGATAGAGCCTTGTAGCAAAAGAACCACATAAACTACTTAAACAGATAGCATAGTTTGTTGTAAATGGATGTTTCTAGCCTATCTGCATCTAAATGTGTGCATCTTTTCTTGCAGTGATCCATACACAAGACTTTCTCTCTATGACCCCAGCAATGGAGAAATCACAAGCCTTCAAACTAAAACGATAAAAAAGGTCAATTAGTGATCATCTGCATTTGTAGTTACACTTGTTTGATTTGTAGATATTTTATCTTGATTCAATTTTTCTTTACCATTTCATGTTACAAGAAGACACTGGACCCAAAGTGGAATGAAGAGTTCTTTTTCAGAGTAAGTGAAGCTTAAAATAAGTTCAAATTTATTGTTCCCCATGGAAAATTTGTCTTAAGCACAAGTGCCGTATGCAGTAGTAAAACATAAGTGTGAACATAGTTGTACGAGATGAAAACCAGATGTACAAGTGAGGGAGTGTCTGTGTTTATATTGCATAAAATAAATTAAAGAGAACAAGTTAAATAGTAATGTGATGAATCAGAAATATATGAGCTCGTATGCTTAAAATCATCTCAAAGAAAAGTCAAATGCTAAAATGAAAGTAAACAGTAACAGAATAACACAGTCATGGGGGTGACTATGGTTCAGTGGGTAGAGCAGCCATCTCCCAACCACAGGGTTGGAGGTTCGAATCTCGGTGCCTGCAGTCCACATGTCGAAGTGTCCTTGGGCAAGACACTTGAACCCCCAAGTTGCCCCTGATGGTTAGAGCCATCGGTTGAGTTGGCGCCGCAGATGGCTGCCTCAGTTCTGTACTGGAAACAGATTCCTTGTGTGTAACATACTTGGCCAAATATAGGTGATTATCCTTATGGCAGTTTATCTTAAAAAGAAAACATAAAACAGGACAATAAGTAGAGTTATTGCATGTTGTATGCCTCCCCTAGTCAGTCAAGTTCACGGGAATGGGGTGAACATGAGATCATTGGGACTGTGACCCAAATCTAATCAGGTCATCTTTGAGTCCAAATGGATGTTTGTGCCAAATTTGAAGAAATTTCCTTAAGTTGTTCCTGAGATACCAGATTCATAAGAAGGGGACGGACGGACAATCTGAAAACATAGCGACTCCAGCCACAGCATAAAAATCCAGGTGTACAATGAGAATAAATAACATAGCTAGCATTAAACATTTTGAAATGCATGATCTCTTGTGATTTCACTTGCATAAAAGTGTATGTACCATGTTTTTGTTATATGGAATAGGAGCCTGAATAAATTTCATTACATACTGTACATGTTTAACAATGAAATGCTAAGAGCGCTGTTTGATTTATTGACCACAGGTCATTGTTGTACATAGTGCTTCTCTGCTTTGACTTCTGACAATCTGTATCATGTATCAGGTTAATCCCAGGAAGCACCGTCTGCTGTTGGAGGTGTTTGATGAGAACCGCCTGGTAAGTTACTGTATTCAGTTATATTTAGTTATAAGGTATTCACACCTTTATGTGTGTAATTCTGATTATACTGAAAATTTTAGGTTGTAGCTTGTTGCACTGGACATTTTTCTCTTGATTTCCCCTAGTTCTGTTCTTTTTTTTTTTCTACAAAATGTGGGTTCACTGGATGGATGAAAGTATTGATAATCTTCCACTTATTTTTTTATTCATAATTTGACATTAAAATGTTAGTAAACAGAAATGCTTGTACATTTTTAAGCTCTAGACTGTTATTAAATTGTTTTTGTCCAATTAAAAAACAGCTCAAGTTCAAAGTTTAGTTAATGATACAATTCACATTTGTTTCCTGATGTGAACAACGAAATTTAAATCTTAAACTTTCAAACAAAGCTTATTTTTTTCCTGTACATCACATTTGTACATTAGTAGAGTTCACAAGAAAATGTTCTAAAAAAGTGGATAGCATGCTGAATGTGGCAAATGGCAGTTATAATTATGGGGTCATGATTTTAACTATGTTATGCCTTAAATCCCAGGGCAAGCCCTTCATTGACAGGCATGTGGCTCTGTAGACTGCTTTTAAGGATGCTAATGAGGAAAGTATTGGAAATCAATCTTAAGAGCTTATTTGCTGGAGAGGAACACCTTGTAATTGATAGTTGCGACATATTGGGGCATACTAGGCAAGCCTGGAAATAGTCACACAAAGGTTTCAAAACTGAAAACGGTTGTTCAGAGCTGTAAATAAAACTGACTACAGTAAGGACATCCTCTTTTACACACATAGATGGAGATTTTAAAAGTTGCATATAACACTAGGGAGAGCACTTTGTGTTCCTGTTTTGTATGAAAAGATGCTACATAAATAAACCTGCCTTGATTTGCCTACAGATGAAACATTTACCAGTTTCACCATAAACCATGACACTCCCCTGCTGAAGGGTCAGCTAATGTCAGTCAGCCAGAAGCAGGCACAGCAAACAATGTGCATTTGTTTTGTGTCAGAACCACTGACTTTATATAAAAGCTGGACAAACCCACTGCGATGTTACCCACTGGTTTTCAGAAGAACAGTTTTGAAAAGTCAGACCATCACCATATTGGTAACGCTTCACTCCACCCAGCATGTCTAGTCCAAAAATGGGAAAAGAGGTGAAGCACAGCTTGTTAGACAGCTCGCAACCAGCCACTTGTGGCGTGACCCTCCTGCCTGTCACTTAAAGGGGCCATGCTCTTAATTATGCGTAACTTTTACTCTCATTATAATTTACATGGCCAAGTTGTACAAAAGAAAATATTTCACCCCCTGTACAGTTGCCATGGAAGGGGAAATTGGCTAAAGAGACCAAAACTGTTTTTTGTACCAGGCTATAAACACTCCTTTTTGGAGCCAGCCTCACTGCAGGTTTGGGCATTTCCGCATCTGATTTCTCATCCTTGGAGGCTGTCACTTGGTCAAAACATGGCAGAAGGCAGTGATAGCACTGATTTTTATCCTTCTAAGAGGACTAAGTCTGAAGTGTGGTTGTATTTTAGCTTTCACTCATAAGAGAGCTGAGAGAGCAGCTTGACTGACAATGGTCACCCTGTCTGAAGAACATGCAGAAAGGAAAAAAAATCACTGCAACAGGGGGCAACACTTTTAGCTCCATACAGGATGTGGGGACTTTGGAATGGAGATAATGTCTTGGTTTGTCTGACTTGCTAATAGCTTGCCATTAATGTGAAGGAAACCTTTCTGTGTTATCTACTTTTGTAAAAACACTTCACTTTCTTCTGCTGCTGTAACGTATGCGTTGCGTGTCTACATACTCTGTTTGCTCACTGCACACAATAACATTACATGGTGTACTCACCCAAACAACATATTTTGTTCATTTATAAAGTACAGTAGCTTGTATAGCTTGAACAGTTGTTGCATTTTGATGGGTTGCACAAGATTTGGCCCCATTTTTTTTGTCTATCACGTGCACATACATTTGCTTTTTGAATGAGTCAAGAATTACACAAACAGCAAGTTTGCACACATGACCTGTCACACACTAGGTAGATTTCCAGGCATTTTGGAGGGTGTGGCAGTGTGTTTCTGCTTGTGTCACTGCTGCTCTGACACACAGATAAATGGACCGAGCATAAAGGAAGCTTGTGCATTTTTGTCTTGCTAACAGTGAAACTGGGTCTGTGGGCTTATTCCTTTCAAGATATGAAATGTGCTGTGCATTATGCAATTTATAGGTTCCAAACGAAATAGTGTTTCACAGTTTGGCCTTTGACAACTGCCATTAAAAATATTTTCTGATCAACATTTTGTTTCATGATCTCCACCAAGCATGAGACATCTGTTAATTACTTAATCACATAAATGTTTAAATACAGGATGGTTTTAATGATCACACAAATGTGAATTTAGGTGAATTTCCTGAACTAAAGAGGTGATCACAGTGCACAACACACAACAGCAGAGATGCAGATATTGCAGCACTAAGAGAAGTGTTCATGTCCCTTGGAAGAAGCATCTAAAAATTTTATTGACACATACCTCTTGTGTAATACCCGCTTGAAAAACATCCCACTAACAGTTTGTAATGACCCTCAAACATATTCTCTAAAGAGTTTATAGCCTGCGCTCCAGTGTTTCTTTTGAGTTTAGTGTTTATGTCAGTACCAATGTCATGTCCACCTTATAGACAGCTTGGCTTTATTTTTGGCATATTACACCAGTACTGTATGACCTGGCTAAATGACAGCATGCGTCACCATTCTTATCTTATGGACCACGTGCAATCCTCAGTTAAACCTGCTTTTGGCCCAATGAGTAATCAATTTCCACTCGAGGTTTTCTGGCAGTTTGTCATGTTAGATTTAAACATAGGTAATGAGTTCCACTGCAGCAGTGTTGTGTCCTCTGGTGAATCATGTTTTTATCTTGGTTCCATTATACTGGAACTGATTTAGTGCCAGCTTAATGTCCTGAAATAGGCCAGTCTGGCTCACAATAGGCTGCCATTAATAAACAGCACTGTCAACAGCCACGGAGAGGAAATCAGACTAGCATGAACTGTTACATGCGGTGTCATATAACAGGTGTACTGGTGCTGTCAAGGCAGCGTAGTGTTCTTATCTACCTGTTTTCTGTCAGGGAGATAATACTGTGTATCATGGATAAACTTATTTCTGCAGGGCATGCTTTACAAAGTTTTTCTTACTTTGAAAGCAAAAAAAAATTTGCTAAAACAATTTGTTGTACTTCACAAAATACATTTAATGACATTTGCAGTTTATAATCACTTTGCTAAATATTTTTACCGGCTATGGCGGTTTATATTTTGCTGTGATTTTTTGCAACTTGGCCCTCGGTGTGATCCAGAATTGTGTTGAATGTCATTGCCTTTGATTTCCTGTAATTCTATAGCAGTGGGTAAAAATATTTGTGAGAGCACATAGCAGCTGCAACATTAGAAGCAGAGCTGCTGCAGGAGGTAGAGTCCTGAGTGAGTGGTCTGAGGCAGAAGTAAGTTTACCAGAGCTTTAGTGTAAGATGCAGCATAGACCACAAAAGGGTAAACAGGAGTGAGGCAGCTGGAAAAGACACAAGGTGTTAGATATTATTCTGGCTGGAATTCAAGAGGTACCGTTAATTAGCTAATATTATAAAGCAGTCAGCAGTAGAAACTGTCCTGTAATTTTGTTTCCAGTATAGGGTTTAAGCTCTCTATAAAGAAGCAAACCTCTGGGATTGTTCTAGTTTTGAAGTAGTGTGGTTCATATCTCCAAACAGAACCACTGACCTCCTCTGACTAAAAGCTGAGATCAGCCTGGAGAGGAATGTTGGTTGTCACCGGAGCTATTTTGGCAGTGTACACCCGCTAATGATTGTGATCACAGAGAAGAGCTCGGAGCAGTAGCATTGCGTTCCCTTTTTCTCACCTGCAAGTTTGATCATGCTGCTCTCGCCATTGCTGCAGGGACTAGAGAGTTAAGCGAATGGCATGTCGGCTCCGTGTGCATTTTGCGTCAAGGAGAAGCAACACGGACCCTCTGTCAGAAAGCCTCAGCAGCCATGGTGAGGAGAAGGGAGTTAGCGTGTCCGCTTATAGCCCTGCAGAGAGTCTGGCGCACAGTTTTGTCCACTTGAAGGTGACTCCTGTGTCACCAGGCTATGCTAGTTTACAGCAGTTCTCTTCAGCATTCACACCTAGGGTTAACGCTGGAGGATGTAATAAGAAGAGCATTCTGCAGATCTCTTTGCAACCCTGTGGCAAGCTCAGTGGAGAACTGGATAGCAGTATAGAGGATGGAGACCCGGGAGTTGGTGAAGGACGAGCAGGCACGAGCTCTGACGGAGGCTCGTGCAGCAGCAGCATGACAAGTGATGCTGGGTACTGTAGCAGCAACAGCATCTTTGAGCCAGAGGCTCTAGAGAAGCACAGGACCACCCAGGAGATGAGTCTGCTCTGCTCCAAGTCCAAGGTCCCACTGAGACGGTGCTCCTCTCTGGTTATATTTCCAAAGAGTCCTGCCAGCACGCCACCTGCTTCCCCAGTGAGTCCAGTGGCTATACCTGTTCTGTCAGCAGCAAGGGGGTCTCGTCAGTCATCTCTTCAGACATCTGCCAGCAAATTCTTACAAGATGATGAGGAAGTGACCAAAGGGTTCACCAGCACAGCAGTAAGTGGCCATCATTTCCCAAAAGAAAGCTGTTCACCTGTGTTCAAGGACACCAAACACATGGTGCAGTTCAGTATTCCTCTAAAGGATGAACCACAATGCAAACTGGAGGACAGTAGTAAAGTAGTGGAACTGTCATCAACTCTAGACGGATCAAATCGTCACTCTAGCAGCATGCTGTTGCACTTTGCCCACCAGAGACCAATGATATCCGGGAAGGAAGCTACAACCACAGCTACAGTCATCGGGGACTATGCTGAGTCATCTAACTCAGCCACACACCATGAGGGTGAACACGAACCTCGCAAAAAACTGTATCGTAGTACCTC